CATAGGGGTGAATGTAAAATGTCGTTACATCATTTTAGTGTAAATCTCACACGTAGATATGTATATAGTAAAGTGGACATTAGCATGTGTACAATCTCTTTATAAGAAGAGATTTATGGATAACTTTTAGATGGTTTTAGCTTGTGATAAGTATGAACATCTTTGAGAAAGTATATTCTGGGGTTTAACAGCATAATTTCAACAACTCTGATAGAATATACCGTTAAAACATATTCTCAGTAAGATGTATATAATATATATCACGTGACTAAACATAAATTGTCACACTAATTATACTATAGAAATTGTCACACTAATTATACTATAGAAATTGACACATTAATTAATTACTTCTGTCTGTGTATCCGATAATGGGACAGTCTGATTTAGCGTGAAGTTCCTCGCCAGAATATTTTCCGTGGTTTGTTTTGTCCCTTCAGTACAGTGGCATATATGATTATGTCTCTCTTTCTCTCACACACACAAAAAGTCTTAGTAGGGTGTTGCAGTCTGTCACCCACATGTATGACAGACGATCGGTGAACACTAACCAGGAGACACACCAAGTACGTGCGTCTATCTCATAACGCCTCGTCGTTTAGCGTGAGTGAGGCTAGTTCTAAGCCGTTTTTAGCAATATTCGCAGCGGGGAACACAAGTTATGGACTTTAAACATTGTATCATTTAAATTGGGGCAACGCAAAAAAAATCTTCAATGTGGTCTTAAGTCATTTTCAAGGGGTCGAACCCCTTGAAAAAAATTCTCTTCCTCCCCAAATGTCTCTCTCTCTCTCTGATCCGCCAATGTATTCCCCTACCACACCCCTTTATAAACCACAACTCATTGCACGACATTACCGAGTACAGAGATAAACATATACTGGTGTTTGTGATGTTTCATGCTCAGTTCTTGTATGTGATGGAAGCATACCAAGAAACATACTGTCTAGCATATTATAGTCCGTTTGGCTCAAAATCGGACCGATGAATTGCAATCTAACTCGAAAACTACTCAACATATACTTATACTTGGACGGTGCTCGTTGAAGAAAAATGTGCAATAGCGTAACTGACAGAGTGGATCCCTGAAAGGTATTTCAATAATTGTTAATATGAACTTCGCTCAAGATATCTAATTTGATGTCTTCACCTGTACAATTTACTGGAGAACCGGCTTTTCTTAACTAAAACAGCTAAAGTCAAAGACATTCTGCTTGCTTAGGGTTTTCTGTCATTTTAAAAATTGTATTGTAGTCGTACTTCATAAATTTAGAGTCCAAACTCTGGCAAACGGTAAACGGAAGGTAAACGGAAAACGAGCTAAAGTTTTCAAACAAATGGTTAAAAAATGAGGTGTTTAACACAATTTTTATAACTAATTGATAGCGATCCATAAACACATGTTCGGATATAGTCCGATTTGATATGGACTCTATTTTTGGCAGCTATTACGGAGGGGTTTAACTACGAGTTTCGAGTATGCTGTTCTTATACTACCCATTGTCAGTTTACAAAAAGTACATATTCCAGCAATATCACGGGAGGGGGACTAGCGTTGTTGTATACACATCGTAACCCTGTACGTCGTTACATCATCCTCAGCGATTTGGCAATGTGACGTCATATCCGTTAACCCCATCCTCCCCAAAGATCGGTACCCAACCTACTGAAAAAACAATAAATAATAATTTATACACCAGACATTTGCCCTTAGCAAAGTTACATTTGTTCCAGTTGAGCATAAAATGAGGAATTTGACAAACTAGCTTTACTGTGGTGAGAGAGATGGGTTTGAACAAAGACGTATATACGTCTTTGGTTTGAACAATATTTCAGTGATGCCACATTATGAAGACCAAATTTATGAAAATTAAGGATGTTTGACCTATGTGGTCACATGGATATGGCTTAAACTAACCAAGGATCTATGCAAATCCAAGATTCAAACACATCTAAAGAACCCAGTGTGCTGTTAAATGTAGAACATGGCCATTGTGGCTAACCCTAAGTAGTGAGTGTCATGACACTTTTAGATGCTATAAGTCCAAAACAACTACTTCTCTCACACTATACCCATTGAGGAATGGACCTGGGACTGGGGCTGGAAACTCATCACCTGTTTCTTAAAGCTGTATGTTTTCCAAGAACTGTGTAGCATCACTCTTGGTTTGTGTACAAATAACACATGTAAAAAGGTAAAACAAGTACCGGTAAACAACAATTTGTCTTGTACAACAGTACCATGTCCATCACGGGCGGGGGACTAGCGTTGTTACACATCGTAACCCTGTACTTCGTTACATCATCCTCAGCGATTTGGCGTCATATCCGTCCACTGACCAGACTTGTCTGTCTTCCTAGCCTAAAGGTGTTATATTGCAACAGAAGGAATAACGCAAGAAATATCATATGTTTCATATAATGATCAATCTGTAAACCAGTTATCGGACTAACTACAAGCTATTGGTTAAAAAACATAAGGACATCTCACATAATAGCGATCATTCATGTTCGTTTTAAAACGTTTTATCAAAGATAATATTTTATGTTCTTTAAAAACACCCGTGACTGCAACAAAGCATGCGCAATAAATACATAGTTTATGGTAATGGTAACCTCGGATCTCTTTCCCACAAAATGTTCACCTCGTGCACCAACGGCTATTGTGTGGTACGTTTGCATTACAGCATTAAATCAAGGATTTAAGATTAAAAATATGAAAAATCACAGTAAAGCAGGTCCCCTGTTTTAAAAAAACGCATCAGGAAAAAATCGCAGGCATTAAAACGTTTTATCACTTTTTTGCCAAAATCCGTTTCCACACGATTATGCTAATTCTAATTTTACAATTATCCAGTCGAGTGTGTAGACGGGGGGACCTTAGGTCGGGGGAGAATGAGTAGTGTTTTGAGAGTGCTAGTTATGCCTCCGGTTCGAAGCATTCAGTAGGCTGATTAACGTTTTATTAATGAAGCTTCGTCGGTCTCTCGACTCCAAGTAGCGTTCCCCTGGCGGGAGAGTCTATGTACTTTGTTCCTGGTAATCACAAGCTAGAACTAAGTTTGCCTTGGGCGTTGAAGCTGTACGAAATTTGGGTAATGGAAATTCTGAAAATCCAATCAAAGTCCCTTCGCGGAGGAGTTTTGTCTAATAAAATTTTCTTAAATATTTTAATTCAATATTTGCAAGGGCAATGGTTATTTAAGATAAATTATTTACAGGAAATGTTTAAAGTTTGGGCGACGTGATAAATGGTTGCGTTTATAATTCACGCCTCAAAACCTGGACGTGTTTGGAAAAGTATGACGAGATGTCCGGTCTACTCATGATGGTGACGGACCATGTAATCAAATATGGATTCTGGACATGAATAATCACTAATTACATTGCAGCCATTAAACCAAACATTCTGTTTTATCCTAATCATTGGACATGACTGTTTGCTGCAATTCTCTCACTTACCTGAGATGATATTGGCTTGCTTGTGACTGTCATTTATGAGAGGCAAAATAGGTTGTGAGTTTGTTTTTTTTATTTAACACTGCACTTAGCAATATTCCAGCTATTTGACAGCGGTCTGCACATACAGTGACCAACGTCAGGAGCATAGATCTACGCAACTGTGATACAATAACATGCATCAACTAACTCAGCAAGCCTGACCACCCGATCCCTTTAGTCGCATCTAACGACAAGCATGGCTTGCTGAAGACCAATTCCAACCGGAATCTACACAGGTGCACAGTTTGAGAACACAGGCAAACCAGGTTGGTCAGGTGAGTGAGTGAGTATGGAGTATGTTTTTAGCAATATTCCAACAACATCATGGCAGGGGACACCAGAAATGGACTTCACACAGTGTAATTTGTACCGATGTGGAGAATCGAACCCAGGCACGATGAGCGAACGCTTTAACCACTAGGCTACCCACCGCCCCTGGTTGGTTGAGTCCTCAGAAATGGAATGGCGACTTGATTTATCACAAGCCTCTCAACATTATAGATTACATGTTACAACTGAAATGTTTATGCAAGTTATAACCATGACGATCAGGGTTCAAATTGGTCTTCAGCAATCTGTGTTTGTATGATGGTATGGATGGTTACCTTTCTTCCACCTAACATCGAAATCCTCATCTAAAATATGCTACTTGCTTCTGAACATTCGGACTAAAATGAGGGTGGTATATTTGATATCAGTTGAGGTTGGCACTTGTTCAACCTGGGCTACTATGTTTACACTCAGGTCTCGACATTGACCCAGGTATATCCCACTATTGCATAAAACAGCATTCATTTACTCCAGTTGCCATAACAATGAATGGGGTTCTTAACCCCATCCACCCTACAGATCGGTGCCCAACCTACTGAAAAAACAATAAATAATAATTTATACACCAGAAATTTGCCCTTAGCAAAATTACATTTGTTCCAGTTGAGCATAAAATGAGGAATTTGACAAACTGGTATTACTGTGGTGAGTGAGATGGGTTTGAACAATATTACATTGATGCCACATTAGGAAAGACCAAGTTTATGAAAATTGAGGATGTTTGACCTATTTGGTCACATGGATATGGCTTAAACTAACCAAGGATCTATGCAAATCCAAGATTTAAACACATCTAAAGAACCCAGTGTGCTGTTAAATTTAGAACATGGCCATTGTGGCTAACCCTAAGTAGTGAGTGTCATGACACTTTTAGATGCTTTAAGTCCAAAACAACTACTTCTCTCACACTCTACCCATTGAGGAATGGACCTGGGACTGGGGCTAAAACAAACATTTTAACAAGTTGGCTAACACATTGCCTGTTTCTTAAAGCTGTATGTTTTCCAAGAACTGTGTAGCATCACTCTTGGTTTGTGTACAAATAACACATGTATAAAGGTAAAACAAGTACCGGTAAACAACAATTTGTCTTGTACAACAGTACCATATCCATCCTTCCCAAGAGATAAATGGTCCATCTCTCAACAACAATACAACAAGAGATTGAATTAGTTAATCAGTTTTTAATGTGTAAAACTCAAATGGTAGTGTACATGATCATTTAAAATGAAGAGGCATGAGAAATGCTTGGACAAAATGACATCCAGATATATACAAAGTCCACTGTGGACAGATTCCCATGGCAAACATATAAGTGTAATACAAGCGTGTGATACAGACAGGAATCGGCAAAACGTAAAGCCAACCCAGGGAGGTTCTTAATGAAATATAATAAGATGTTTTAGAATTCTGAAATCTGCTAAAAAGTTAACCATTTCACATCAATTTGTTTCCAAAGAAATGAGATATAAAAGAAGAAGAAAATCGTTCCAAAAATAGAATGGTTTTGAACTATTTCAGACAATAAGTCTATCCATAATTACAAAATATATGTTTTGATACTGGATTGCTTGAAACTTGTGAGCTTCCAGCATGAGACACACATTTCCTCCTTTACCTGACAGTATCACAGGTATTGCACCACCGGACTCAGAGAACTTCTCAGACTTAATGAAATACTAATGTGTTTCATGATTAATGTATGATGTCCTTTTTTTCACTGAAGAGAAACAAACAAAACCAATAACCACTTGTGGGTACTGCCCTACATTACGGTATGTCATCATTACAAAGAGGATAATGTAGATGCATGTCTACCCTTGGATTTCAGCCACATAGTTTCTCAGATGTGGATGGCATGAGTGAGTGAGTGGATTGTATCTGAACATTGAATGCTTCATATACATGAATAAGATGGTGTGTAATGCTTATAACATTCAAGTTTGGGTAGGCCACTCAAATTCCACAACTAGTCGCTGTGGTGTCACCCATCTAGGCAAGGCTGGTTTCATATTTATAATTCATTTAATATGACTAGTTTCCCTGGCGTGTTCAATCTAGGCACAGCTAGACTTATGTCATCCATCAAAGCTAATTTTCCAGATTTAACCCATCAGGACACAACTAGTCTCCCAGAGGAATTAACCTAGGCATGACTTGTCTCATAGGTGTCATTCATCTTAGCATAACTAATCTGCCAGGTGTCATTCATCTTAGCATAACTAATCTGCCAGGTGTCATTCATCTTAGCATAACTAATCTGCCTGGTGTCATTCATCTTAGCATAACTAATCTGCCAGGTGTCATTCATCTTAGCATAACTAATCTGCCAGGTGTCATTCATCTTAGCATGACACGTCTGCCAGGTGTTATTCATCTAGGCATGACACATCTCCCATATATCCAGACTGATCCCTTCTAATACTCTGTCCCCCATGAATACTGTATAGATGGAGCAGGACCTGTCTGGTACATGGAAGAATCTACAGTGAACACAGCTATACACGTGGGGCTGAACATCCACCCTTGCACATCATCACCCTCACATATTTCATCTTTATCAACATTTTCCCATACCACTAAACATTACACTAAGATTCTAAAATTTTTAAAAACTATACACATAGTTACCTTAAAACAACTTGTTGTTAAATGAAGATCATACTGATATTTTTCAAATACATTTTATTTGAACTTAAAGCCATCCTACTGAAGTCAATGATTCATAGGACTGTAAGCATGCATAAAAATATAGTTTGATTAATGCTCTGATCGTAAATCAAACAAAAATCAAACTAACAGTTCAGAAAACATACAGACAACATTTCAAACATACATCCATGGCTAACTTTGTTTAAAAGGACTTTTTACAAACAGAATCATCGACCATACCAGCCAAGAAGCTGGTTATGAGATACCAAAATCATTACATGAAAACTGAGTCCAAGACGAGATTGCAATGACATTCCCTTTCAGCTTCATCTTTACTTGTATCGTAAGTCAAGAAAAAGTAAAGCATGCTTGTAGCAAAAAGCCACGCTGAATGCTTTCTCCATTTACAAACACCTGAGCCTCAACAGTGGCAGTGTCGTTTTTTTGTTGCCATGGTAACCACTGATCCACAGCTGTATGTGCAAAGATGATTCTCTCAGATTATGTTCAAAGATCAGTTGTAGATGAAATTGAATCTGAAAATAAATAGAAAAAATATTTAACATGAGAGGCAGAAAATATACAAACTTGAAAAACAGTTGAAAATTAATGAAATAACACACAATATGTAACATATAATTTCAGATAAAAATATAACAAACCAAAAATATTATACAGCAAAAGATAGAAATAAATGCATGAAAATACTGATCACAAAATATACTTCTAATTTCAATATTCATCAAATGGTTCACCAGGTCAGGGGGCTTCTTTCACAATGTAAGATTGAGTGAGTGAGTTGGGTACAATACTGCATTGAAACCCAAGATTTATAACCGCATGTCTGATTAAAGAGGAAGGAGTGACTGAGTTTGGTTTTACGCTGCTTTTAGCAATATTCCACCAACATCACTGCGGGGGACACCAGAAACAGGCTTCACACAATGTACCCATGTGGGGATTCGAACCCGGGGTCTTCGGCGTGACAAGCCAACGTAAAGTGCAAGGAAAGCTCCTTTATCAGTCAGACTACTATCACTGTACTGAAACAAACAAGCATGGGTGTGGTGCTCAAAACCCTACACACACAATCACAGTGAACCAGGATCCAAAGCAATGATCAGCGGTTTATGGCATCTCAAAGGGACTCAACTCTGCACGAAAAACTGTGGGCACCGGAGAGTGAGTTTAGTTTTACGCCACACTCAGCGATTCAAGCTATATGGCGGTGATCTGTAAATAATTGAGTCTGGACCAGACAGGGCACCGGAGAGCCACTGGTGAGGTGAAATGGGATTTAACGTTGTACTTAAAAATACTTTTGCTCATATGACGATGTGCATGCGTGTGTATGTGTGGCTACTTGTACTAGTTCAGACTTAAGCTGGTTTTATAGTGCAACTCACTGAGATACCATGCCGCAGTGAAGCATGAATACCTCACTCAGACACATTATACTGACTCCGAGCCGACCAGTCCTTGTTGTACCCATTAATGCCGAGTGCCAGGCAGGGACCAACAAGTACCATATTTTAACGTGTTTTGGTATGACGGGGCTGGAGATCGGACCTGTGACTCACTACCCACTTCGCCTACCATCCACACACACATTAACCAAAGAAATAATGTACAACTTCTTTAAAATCACACTAAGCGTGTTAAGTCCAGATAAATATATGTTGATTTTTGCACAACCATACTCAAAATTTGATAAAAGTGATGGTAAACATGTATCAGAAATAAATATATTTTCTCTTTTTCCGTTTATTCAATTTGTCTGTTTTCTATCCACCAATTATCAATATTCATGTAATATCAAGGTAACCCAGAGATACAGATAAGTTGCATATCTGCGTAAATTACGCAAATATTTATGTGAAAACTCAATTCCTATTAAGTCTATTGCGTACATGTACGCTTGAATTTTTGTAAGTACTCAATGAACTTGGCAACTTGCAGTCTTTCTGATTATTTCTCATATTACAGATCAAATATAAATAACAAAGACGTAAACCAACATTATAACTTTATTATATTTTTTACAATTAATGGAAAACGGGAAAATACCCAACTGAGTTTGAGTGAGATGAGTACAATATCTGCTTACTCAAAGGAAAGCTAGCATACCCAATTGAGCTGAACACAAGTAAGGACATAACTCAATGCCCCAAAATGTTATCTGTAGCTCTGCAACCTGTAAATCACTAAGCATGGACCAGAAAAACCTGTGATGGATATAATGAGCAATTTCCCACTTGTATTATTGTTAAAACTTCAAGGTGTAGTTTCTAAATGGCCTCAAAACCTCAAGTCAAAACTTCAAAATTCATTTCAATTTGCATCCAGTCTCTTGGCATATTAGCCAAGATCGAAAAGAAGAAACAAAATTGGTCTTGTCAACCACTGTTTCATTTTCCTTGTCACTACAAAAGAACCCTGTACTACAAGATTACAAAAGCTTTCATTTGCTGAATTTGTGTCATAAATTTGTTCTCTTTAATTCAAGGCAGATAATCTTCCATTTCTGTCTAAATCTGATGCTTAAACTCTGAACAGAATATGGGGTCAAAATAATCCCCATCACGGCACTAAAAGAATCTGACCAAAAATTATGGACAATAGCTGTCAGTGGAGAAGGAAATAATTACAAGAGGGCATTTACTACGACTTTTACAACAACCAGTCATCTGAAGATCCTATACTAACACCATTTATGAAGAAAGGGCCACAACAAAGCACAGCTGGCTAAAGGTCCAGCCTTGATTAATTCCATTTAATGCATGCATGCCCACATTATTTATTTAGATCAATATACATCTGTTCCACCTTCCCCTTTGCTGTGAATCATGCCATAAGAGCAGATTTAGTAACAGTAAAGATACAATATCATAAAGAAGCTCCTGCCCGAGCATCAATCACCCATCTGCAAGATCACACAACAAAAGTCTTAATCACTGAACCCAACAATACACGCCAAATGAGCAGAAAATGGCAATCCCCCTCTGTACTATCATGAATACTGAAACAAGTGAGATCAAAGCCCACCGGAACAATCTCTCATATACCGGCAAACAATAAATATCAATACCAATATCTCTTCCTCAAACAGACAGAGATGGTTGACCAGGCAGACCTGAAACAAGTCTAGGTGCTATCAGTGAAATCAAAGCCGGGCCGTGGCGTGAAACTCCATGTGCAGGGGCTAATACCCTGCTGACAATGTGCTAGCCAATAGGGGGTGTTTAAATCTACCAGGCTGGGACTACCCGTTCAAGAATAAGCCTGCCATCTGTCTTTCCCTCTACAACTACCCTGCAACCACCTGTTCAGTTTCTCCAACCTGTTAACAGAGGTTAATGTCCTTTAACAGACAGATTTGTCCTTTAACGGATAGATTTCACCCAATGTCTTAGGGATCTTGAACAAGGTATTGTTTGGCAAATGCAGTTTGTGTTTTGAAATTTAAGGTCAAATCAAAGTTTAGCAGAGGACAGTGCACGACATGGCAGCAAAACATAGTCCTCTTTCAAAAGCCATGAGGGGTCTTTCTCCTTGTGCTCAGACCTTAACAATGGCCTGTTTAATTCCTATAATACAATGTTCCTTCCTTTTACAATGACCCATGACATTATCACAATGCATTGACAAAAAATAACCACTAACCATTAAACAAAAAAATGTCAGGTTTTAGAAAAAAAACTATTTCACTAACATCCTGGAACATTTTTTGCAATCACATACTTCTGTTCAGCCTTTTTTTCAGGTTGTTCACATGTGACTAGAAAAAAAAATGTTTTTCAAGGAAAAGATACACTGCATACAAAAATGTTTAGTAAAGCATATTTTAGAATATTTATATTTAAAATATCTAAGCATATTTTTAACATGCTTCATTATTATTTTTTTTATCAATGAATGTTAGGAACACAATTATAATTATGTCTTTGTTCTCATATCTAGTGTCAATTAAATAAACAACTTTCTTCATTGAGCATGAGTTGCAAGTGAATATTCATAACTGCCCCAAAATTACATGTAATCATTCAAAAAAAAGAAAAGACAATGCTATGAATAACTGAAAACACTTGTCATTCATTAAACTTTTTAAACGGAAAACAATTTGGATATCTACATTTTTTATTCTTTTCATACCGAAAATAGAATGTTATGTTAATTGCCTCAGACAAGAAATTTGCAGTTGTGACATTTTACACAAAAGCACTCTATCTTATGGTCCTGTAAAAAGGGCAGACATCTACATAATTCTGTAAAAGCAATGGTCCATTGTGAGTGAAATGACTAAACAGTGGCCAGACCATCCCAGTCAAAGGTTCTGTCCCACCATGATGATCAATCAACGCAATGACTAGGGAAGGCTCATCTCAATCCACTAATGGTGATTCCAGTGATCCCCTTGCCTCCTAGCAAGGCGTTCTCGATGATCTCACGATCTCCCACAATCTGTCAACACTCGAACTTCTTCAGCCACAGGTCTTGACCTTGTTAGTGCCCATCAAATGATCTAAGATCGCCTCAAATCATCAAAGTCCATCAAGCAATCTCCCTTCCCATAGACTGAGCCGAGTGTCATGCAGATGGAGATGGAAACGCCATAAATAAACCCTCTGGGGGAGGGCACCAAGCAAGACCCCCTCAGCAACAATCAAAATCCCCGAACTTGTAGCTAGCCAAAATTAGATGCTATTTGTGAAACAATAGCATAATCCAATCACAGTGACCACTGACTGACCAAAGAGGGACCAGCCACCTGTCAGGACATTTGCGGCACATTTAACAGTTAACTGAATTAGTGAAGCAATTTATTAGCAGGACTGGTCAACAAAGTCATGAGCAAGGGGAGACTGATTCAATTGAGCAACATCTGACAAGAAAAGATTAAAGGCACCGCCACCGAGCACTTTGTAATCTCTGGGAAATGGCCATGAAATTGACACTGAAAATCACCCAAATCTAGCACTACTCACGAAAGACTGGGCTTTGTCACAATTAGCCTCATTTAGTCATGAATCAAAATTAATCAAAACTATTAAGTTTTGAATAAATATTATTCAGAATATACATTAAGAATTCAACAAATCACACTTAGGTGATCCTCTACATTTTCATTGATAAAAAAACTGGCTAGTAACAGATATTACAAAGGAAAAAACACCAACATAATTTTCTTATATCCCCAGGCATGTTCAGAGTCTTAATTGCTTGACATTTTATCAGATTTCTTTAACCTTTTCTTAAAATCAAATGAAAATAGCATTTAATGAAAGTAGAACATTTTGGTGTGAAAAAGAAGTCAATGAAAATAATATTAAAAATGCAAATTTCCAACCAGAAATCAAGATAACCAAGAGTTTCCAGTACATGGCAACTGTTTCATGAAGACAGAAAAAAATATAATTGTTCTGGGTTGACTAAATCAAGGCATATCTCTCACGCTCCACAATAGAAAAAAGAGTTCTTTGTGTTAGTTAGCGCCCATGGCAATAACCTTTTAGGGTGTACATCAATATCAGCCTGT